ATATTTTCTGAAAGCAGTGACCCTGGAGAATAAAATGGTGGTAATTGCACTAATTTTATGCAACATAAAAAAATCGCAACTGTTTATCAAACCTGAATTTTCTGTAAAAAGGACACTAAAGTTAAAGGAGAACTATGGGGTTAGGGCTTCTCCCCATAGTTCTCCTAAGGGTAACGGGAGGACACAAACTAGCGTCCTCCAGTCACCCTAGGCTCAATATACTGCGAGCTACAGCTCGCGGTATACTGAGACGCCGCAGCCGGAACGGATCCCGACAATTCTGTCTGGATCCACCCAGCTGCGTGAGTGACAACTGGCTCTGCCTATCTAGAGGCAGAGCCAGCTGTACCCGCCCATTCCGCCAGTCAGCGCTGGAGGATCGGACAGGGGAGGGGGGAATCCAGTCCCTCCCCTGTCACGGCTCTCTGCAGTGACAGGATCGAGAAGTGAGCGAGCGCCGGTATGTGCTCGCTCACTTCCCGATCTACTGAGCCGACCTGTGACAGTTTCATTGTCACAGGTCGGCTAGAACTATAAGGATGAGTGAAAATCACTCACCTCATAGTATAGCGGGAAACAGCTTTTGGGAAACCAGCAATGGACTCCGGACACAGACTTCAGGAATACAAATCTTCTTTATTCTCTATATACCCAGGGGACTACTGTCTCCAAAAACCTGGGTGAGCCTTAAGGGCTGGTCACAAAATATATCTAACAATTACGTCACATTACACATTTCCAATACACATATTTCCTATACCTCTTATTCCTTACACAGCTCTAAACCAATCAGCAAGCAGCATTTGCAATTTAACTATATATGGTTTATACCTGTTATATATTTTTGGTTCACCCACTGTGATAAGGAAAGGTTGGGGCTTTTGACATTTTTGTTTAGCATTTGTGGTTTACAAAGTTAGACTCTAGAACAGAAAGTGAAAGGGGCCCTTTAGACACTAGCTTCTGTCCTTGCATTTGTAGTTAAAAAGACAGAAAGAGGGAGGGGGGCCTCGTTATATGTAGATCCAAATAAAACATGAATTAATTAAATACAGTTAGCTATTTTGTCAAATGTAGCAACTGTGTCTGCTGCCACAATAGTTCTCCTTTAATCTAAGCCCTCGTCCACACCTGAACGCTTTGTAGCGTGTTCTACGCTCGACGAACGCTCTACAAAACGCTCAAAAATATAAATCCCATTGTATTCAATGGTCTCGTTCCCACCTTGGCGTATTTCCGCCCGTCCCTAACGCGCTACAAAACGGCCCACGCCTGAAAAGGTAGAGGTACTACTTTGGGCCGTTTTGTTGTGCGTTTCCATTGGGCTACAGCCAAGTAGCCTTCGGAAACGCGCGACGGTCACGCGACTTTTTACTGCGATTCGCGGTAAAAAAAAATGCGCGGCAGACGTGCATATGCAATACGCCTAGGTGTGAACGAGACGTTAGTGCACAACAAAACACTACATTACCCAACCTTTGGGGTAAATTTGAACATTATGGTTGGGGCAAGTAAAAAAATGCTAAACATGTCACACCTTAAAACTGCGCATGCATCTGAAATGGTGACAATCTATGGCACCCAAATTTGTCCATAACGAATCTTTAACGTCTTTACAGGTCATCAGTTTACACCTTTAGCAGCTGCCGTTCCAATAAGGCAAGCACGCCTACCGGTACTTGGATGCCCCCAGGACTTAACTGCTGCCAAGGACGTACGTCGTACGGAGCTACAAAAGTGCTTCCAGCTGGCCAGCTCAGTACGTCGTACGGACCTGGCATTTACAGTTCTACTATAAGCTGATGGTCGCTTTAGCGACCATCAGCTTATAGTAGAACTGTTCAGCAGACTGTCCCCTTTAAATTAATAGCTGTCATCAGCGGCTCACAAGCCAATGATAGCTCTGATCAGGTGATGCCACAAGCGGCCCACCCAGGAACAAGAAGTACTGATGTCAAGGTGCAAGACAAACAGAGAGCAAGTCACAAGACGGGAACAGCAAACAAATACAAGACAGGAACTAATACAGGATACAAGACAGGTATAGGATTAAAGAAGGTAAGACTAGGTTACAAGATCAAGGCAGGACTGGGATTCAGGATCAGGATCAGGATACAGGCTTGTGTAGACAGAGCAAAGCAAGACACAACAAGACTGTAGCTATCACAAGACCAGAGCTCCGGGCTTGGAATGCTTAAATAGAGCACAAGCAACCAACGACCAGGCTGTAAGGGGCGTGTAGCCAGGCTGATTAGCCTGCATCTGACTAGACTATGGTAGGTGCAATTACAAGAGGCAACCACCAGATGGAGCACAGTGGTTGTGACAGGGATAAGAGCATTTGACATGCTCCTAACAAGAGTAACCTATGAATGATGGCCCTAAAATTATTGAACTCGCTCCTGAATGCGCAGAGACACCCATCATACGTGGCGCAATTGCTGTTTTCATACGTAGACGCACCTGACACACACATTTACATTTGTATGTGCCTGTACACGGGGATGGGAGGGGCATTACTTTTTTATTTTAAGCTTTTTTTTTAACCTATTTTTTTTTTAAACGTTATTTCTATCACATAGGCGTCTAACATGCCCCCTTATTGACAGCGTGTTAAGGGTGATATTTACCTCTTTAGGGAGACATTTGGGGTCTATTAAACCCCTATCTGGGGATGGGAGGGGCATTACTTTTTTATTTTAAGCTTTTTTTTTTTTACCTATTTTAAAAAAAAACGTTATTTCTATCACATAGGCGTCAAACATGCCCCCTTATTAACAGCGTGTTAAGGGTGATATTTACCTCTTTAGGGAGACATTTGGGGTCTTTTAAACCCCTAACTTGACCTATGGACTGTTAGAATACACATTATTGTATCTATAGCAATAACTCCTGCAGTATACAATTTTGGTCACTAGATGGCAGTGTTTATAAATTCTGTTATATACTCTGTTGTATTGAATAAGGTAGAGGATAAAGCTGTGGCTTCCTTCCTGTTTTAGCCAACCCATGCGCAGCATTCACATCAGACTGTGTGCTTGTGTTTCTCTGTGAGGCTGTACAAGAAGTTCCAACATGGACCCCCAAGTATAATCAGCTTCTTCCTCAGCCAGAGCAGCCAGGGAGTGACAGCTCAGAAAACAGAAGTGATGAAATGCTTGTTGCTTTCAGCTTTATTCGGTACAGTGACAATCAGCAAATGGATGTTCACTGGACCAGCAAGAGGTACACGGTGAGGGTAGTTGGGGAGGGGGGGGGATATGGGGTGGCACTTTCAGGGTGTAGAAGTGATTGGCCTTGTGGGCCTCTTAGAACCTTCTTCCACTAGCTCCCTGATCCCCCTGTAGCCTTCCTCCACTGGCTGTTTGTCTGCTGGGGAAAAACGCTGAATCCATAAGATGAAGAGGGAAGCACGAGCAATGGAGGGGAGCGGGGACTTTGCACATTATGGCAAAGACCTCCAAGTGGCCCAACATTGTTTATTATGTTTGATGGTTTACTTCAGTGGGTGTACTGAAGATTACTGATCTGAGCAGACTCTGGTTTATATCTTGTCTACAGAGTTTACATGCACTTGAAGGGTTTTTAAAGTATTGAAATGTTTATTCAATACCCAAAGTCACATACTGTCATACGGTGCTAACGTTTCGGGTCCGCACACCGATCCTTCATCAGAGCGACAGTCAACTGTCACTGACAGTTGCAACCCATCCGGGATTCACCCGTGGAGGACGGCGCTGTTCCCAGTCCCTCATCTCTCTCTCTGCCTCGCTCTGTTTCTCCGCCGCGGCTGTGACTGGATAGGTGGAAGTGACATCAGGAAGAGAGAGAGCAGAGAAGGAGAAGTCATCCTCTGGCAACCACCATTGTGGAGTTCTTTCGCCTGGGACTGGATCTTAATTAACAGTTATTTATTAAATTAATTTTTTTTGAATATCAATTGAAAAGGAGGGGGGGGTTAGTACAACACTTTTATAAGCACTAAAATGATCCCAATAGTGATAATAATATGCAAAACAATACTAAAAATGAATAAATAAAATATTTTTCTCATCAATGTGTTGCTCTAATCAGTAACATTTATGTAAACATCCGTGAACTCTTAAAGAACATTAAATGTGGCCAATATTATTCCAATTAATATAGAACATCCGTTCACTATATAAAAAGCATCGGGGCTTGTTCACACCAATTGCGGTGCGTTCCAGAGTGGTAGCTGCTGGAAAGCGCTGTAATTGCACACTAAACTCCCCCCTTCGTTTTGGGCAGGAGGGGGTGTGGCGGTGCATTAAAGTCAATGGTACTGCAGCCCAGCCCCCACGCCCAGTGTGATCGGATGTGTGGCAAAACATTGCCTGCGTTCTGGTCCCATGTGAACACAAAAAACAGAGCATGCAGCATTATATCTGTGAAGTGAGAAGTGAGCGAACGCCGGTATGTGTTTGCTCACTTCCCGATCTACTGAGCCGACCTGTGACAGTTTCATTGTCACAGGTCGGCTAGAACTATGAGGATGAGTGAAAAGCACTCACCTCATAGTTCTCCTTTAACATTTCCACTTCGTTATAGGAACCCTTGACGATCCCTTGCCTATTGGCCTTGAAAATGGCCAGAACTGATTTTAAAGATTCGCTCCCGCTGACTTTATTGGGATTCGGATAAACATTCAGAATTTAGGAGCAGTTCAACGAACCTCCCTTGAACTGAACCCCAGTACGTTCGGCTGATCCCTACTGCTTTGTAGTACGAACGATTGTACAATGCTAATCCTGCTATCTCACTGCAATTCAACTAGACAGATTCTGTCTGAATGAAAACAATTGACTCTCTATAATCCTTTTCGCAGGCTTCAGGTCATGCGAGGAAACCTTGGAGTAGCGGGTTTTGTTTTGTTCTAACAAGAAATAAGTACTTCCCTATTTCAAATAACAGTGTGATCCAAGCCACATAGACATAGCGGGTTGGGTGAATTCATGGCAGGCATTAGGACCCAGCTGTCATGGAGGCAGGCCGCCGGTGTTTGCATGTAGCAGCTGCAGACTTCTACACTCAGAGCTCTGCAGAGGGGAGAGACCCTTACAGAGAAGGGGGAGACCCTCACACCAAGGCATAGTGCCTGGAGATCAGACACCTAAACACAAGAGGTCTGCATAGTGAAAACCCATCGGCATAGGGGGGAGAAAGACACAGACCCCTGGTATAGAAAGAGACCACCAATTCTGGATTGTACCGGCTGGCCTGTATAGAAGAGAAGACCCCAAGCTGGACCTTGCAGAAGAGGGGATATTGTTGTGGTTGGTTTCGAAGGCAATGTCACCGTAGACGTACTAAGTGGTAGATGCTCCAACTGCATTGGAAGGTATGAGAACGTAAAGACCTCCGGAATAAAAAGGAAGAGGGTCTCCTGGGCTGCGAAAACATAGATGCAACCCAGATTTGAGCACAGAAGGCTGGATCTGGGAAAAGGACCATCTGAACAAGAGGGGAATAGCGTGAGAGCAGTCAAGAAGGTCTATTGTGACATCAGAGATCAGGCCTGACGGTGACCCCAATCCATAGGGACCATCAGAGGTGACAGCCTTGATCTGTCTATGGCTCCGGTGAGTGCAGGGGGAGGGTAAGGCAGCAGCTGATGTTATTAATGAGAAATGCAGCTTATGTTCATTATGGAAGAGCCAGCTGCTCAATAGATTGGTCACAAAGGGCCGTACCATTGTTTGCTGGCTGTAATGTTCTCTTTTTGGTTTTACTGTAGTATGGGGTTTGTTGGCTTCTGACTTTCTGCCAGTTGCAACAGCAAGTTATGGCTGAAGGCCCGGCCTGATATCTGCAAGCGACATATGTAAACCAGGTATTGCTTGTCGCAGGAGTGCAATAACAAACAAGGTGACCGATTGGTGAGGGATTGTTCCATTTTCTTCCAGGAGAAGGGAACGGTGACTTGACCATAAGTTTGCCAAGTCTGGTATTAAAGTCCTGGCAGGTCACAGCAATGCTTGATGAAGATGATCTCACCTGGATCTCAAGGTGTCAATCTTAGTGAGATATCTGCCATTGATCAGGGATTGTTCCATTTTCTTCCAGGAGAAGGGAACGGTGACTTGACCATAAGTTTGCCAAGTCTGGTATTAAAGTCCTGGCAGGTCCTGACAATACTTGATGAATGTGAGCTCACCTGGATCTCAAGGTGTCAATCTTAGTGAGATATCTGCCATTCATCAGGGATTGTTCCATTTTCTTCAAGGAGAAGGGTACGGTGACTTGACCAGAAGTTTGCCAAGTCTGGTATTAAAGTCCTGGCAGGTCCCAGCAATACTTGATGAAGATGGGCACAGCTGGTACTCAAGGGGGTTGATTTACTAACCTTATAAACACACCACGAATGTGTATACACCTCTGCAGTGTGTTCCCTCCCAGCATGATCTATGGGTGGAATCTAAACACCTTTGTAATGTGTACACACCCAGCAGGTGTCTTGTGCAAAGCCCTGAATGAATTCCAAGGTGATGTTGTGTAAATTAGCTCTATGTTGTGTTGCTTGCGTTGATGAATGCAAGGAATGTAAATGCTTGCGCTAACCATTTTTGTCTAAACTGTGAAGCAGCATTATATATGCATCATGTGCATGATTTTTCCATATATGGCATTAGTGGAAATATGCTTTTAGAGACTTTTTGGTTGATAAATACGTTTTGCTGTGTGAAAATCACACACACCTGGTGTGTGTGTGTGTTTAGGTTAGTAAATCACCCCCAAGGTGTCAATCCTGGTGAGATATCTGCCATTCATCAGGTATTGTTCCATTTTCTTCAAGGAGAACGGAATGGTGACTTGACCATCAGTTTGGCCAAGTCTGACATCAAAGTCCTGGCAGGTCCCAGCAATACTTGATGAAAATGGGCACAGCTGGTAGTCAAGGTGTCAATCCTGGTGAGATATCTGCCTTTGTATGGCAGTTTGAGGTTGCCCATGCCCACCCGGGTCACACATTGGCAGGACCTGCCACAACTTTTTCTGATGCCCAGAAATGCTATGACATGGCATTTAACCCCTTCAATGCCCAACTTGCACAGCCAATGCATTCATCTTTAACATTCCCTGCAAGTTTCTATCTGCCATGTACGGCCAACCTTTACCGAGCAAAATCTGCTATGTGAAGTGACGACCAATCAGACTGCAGTTTACTGTAGAGAGATCGGTAAAAGATGGAGGATCCCAAATAATTGGTAGATGTGAATTATTTTTGTCTTGTCAAAGCAGCAAACTGACTAGTGACAGTTGTCATTGTTTGCACTCGTCCTTGATAATGGATTACGTGGGGAGGTTTTAAAGAAAACTTTACTGAGAGAAAGAGAGGGTGCCATCTTTGACCTCATTCTGAAAATGCTAGATGCCTGGCTTTCTCTGGCTTTAAGACACTGACTTGGAACAAGCATATAGATCAGGAAAGCATTATGGCAAGCCAGAACCTCCACTCTGCATGCTTAGAAAACACTGAAACCAGTGGATCAGCATGACAACAGAGGACAAGTATTTTATAAAGAAGGGATCAGCAGTGTTTAATACACAGGTTTCCTTTCGAGAGAACCTTACAAGATAGACATATGTGAGCTGACGTGGCTGACTTTTTTACGATTTTCAAAGCTGTCAACTTCAGTTCTTACTGACAAGTGTGCAGCCAGTGAAGTATCTGATGTGAATATTTGTTCCTGGGTAGTAACCCAATATGTAGTGGAGCAATGAGGAATATGACAGCCCCAGAGCATCAGTGGAAGCCAATGGCGTCCTATCCTTTTTGCCTTCTTAGGTGGGGGGGATGCTGGAGGTGCATGTTCATGGTCTGGTGCTGGTGGTGCACGATAAGGGGACTGCGGCTCTGGTGGCATCCTTCCCAGCTCACTGACGTCAATGGTGGCCAGGAGCTGGATGGGATGCTGGCAAAGTGTCCCAGGTTGCTATGATCTTGGCTGGGAGATGTGTGTGGCCCTTACCTAGGCTGCTCTGGCTGGAAAGGGAGAGGCAGGCACATGGCAAACATGCCCCCCAATACGTCACCCAAAAAGATGCTGTCTGAGGCAACTGCCTCTGACTCTCTCATTATAGGGATGGCCCTGGTGGTAGCTCATAGTTTACTCCTTCAAAAGACATTTCCAAGCTGATGAGATGGATCCACTTTCAAAGCTTGTTATGGGTTGCCTTATGGAATAAGCCCATGTATGACTTTTGCAGTTGTGACCAAACCCCACATCACAGAGAGACAGATAGTGTATGGTTTTTAACCAGTAACAAGCATCGGGAGTCATGTAAATATGCTTCCCAGCACTCTGGAATGTGCCCCTTCATGAAAAGGTAACCCTCAGGTCCCATTCACACTATAGCGTTGTGTTAAATGCATGATACAACACATTTAGCACATGGTACGGCACGCTAGGTGCGCAGCCATTGATTTGAATGGCACTTGAAAGCACCACCTGGTGGCTGTGCGTTGCATTGCGGTGATAATATTGTGGTACCACATGTTGAGTTGCACTGCATTGCGCAGTCACGGGGAGGTGCGTTGGGGTGCCACTCAATGGCAATGCAATGCACCCAGAACAGGGTATAACACGCTAAGTGCGTTGTGTGATAGCATGCATTTGACAACGCTATAGTGTGTACAGGCCCTTAAATATAAGTCTTGTAAGCCTTTCACTGTGCGCAGGAGGCAGAAGTAATGTTCCCTGGCCACACTTGGGACTTGATGATATTTTTCTAGGAAGGGCATGTTTGTCCAATTACTGTCCTCATCTACTGTGTGATAGGACAGCCATACGTTTTGCAATTTCAGCTACTAGGGTAACCAATCTGGGGCAATCGACTAAAAGAGAACCAGCAGCCAGACCAATAGTTCAACAAAAATATTTATGTAGCATTATATGTGCATTTAACATTTTATGCACATTGAGCCTGTTGCAGGCATAGTCATCTTGAATGTGATATTAGTAGCTCCAGCAGACAGAGGTGTCACTCAAGTAACACTATAGCAATGGTTGTAAAAACGCAGGTATAGGGCCTCACCGGGGGGCCCTGATGTCAAAGGACCACACCTAATATACAGTATATGCTACAGAAGACTTAAAGGAGAACTATGGGGTCAGGGCTTTTCCCAATGGTTCTCCTAAGGGTAACGGGAGGACACAAACTAGCGTCCTCCCGTTAGCCAAAGCTACTAGAGTAAATCAGGCCCTGCCCATACACTGTACGATTTCTTTCATTCCTTTGTCAAACCGTTGATGGGCCAATGTGGATGTCAATTATCGTTCATTAGCATCAATTACTGACCAAATTTCGTCGACCGATAGAATGGATTTTCGTTTGCGCATGTGCAGTGTTCATGTTGCGATTTTTTTCATATGAAAACGCCACTAATCCATCGATTACGATGCGTACGATTCTAACAAAGTTTTCTAGCCTGCCCAATAGACAAAATTCGGGCAGTTGTACAGTAATTTTGATCCTTCACTTCCCATCAACTGGCCCATTATCGTACGAAAACTAGATTTTGGAAATCGAAAGATAATCGCAAGGGATTCTTTAAGTTCCATTGGAATTACTGGCAGGAATTCTGGGAGTACCGTTGCAATTACTGGCAGGAATTCTGGGAGTACCGTTGCAATTACTGGCAGGGATTCTGTGAGTACCGTTGCAATTACTGGCAGGGATTCTGGGAGTACCGTTGCAATTACTGGCAGGGGTTCTGGGAGTACCGTTGCAATTACTGGCAGGGATTCTGGGAGTACCATTGGAATTACTGGCAGGAATTCTGGGAGTACCATTGCAATTACTGGCAGGGATTCTGGGAGTAACATTGCAATAACTGGCAGGGATTCTGGGACTACCGTTGCAATTACTGGCAGGTTTTCTGGGAGTACCATTGCAATTACTGGCAGGGATTCTGGCAGTACCATTGTAATTCTGGGAGTACCATTGCAATTACTGGCAGGGATTCTGGGAGTAACATTGCAATAACTGGCAGGGATTCTGGGACTACCGTTGCAATTACTGGCAGGTTTTCTGGGAGTACCATTGCAATTACTGGCAGGGATTCTGGCAGTACCATTGTAATTCTGGGAGTACCATTGCAATTACTGGCAGGGATTCTGGGAGTAATATTGCAATTACTGGCAGGGATTCTGGGAGTACCATTGTAATTCTGGGAGTACCATTGTAATTCTGGGAGTACCGTTGCAATTACTGGCAGGGATTCTGGGAGTACCATTGTAATTACTGGCAGGGATTCTGGGAGTACCATTGTAATTACTGGCAGGGATTCTGGCTATTCATTTGAAGGCACTTCCGAGCCACTGCACCGTACTGCAATCCTGTGCTTTGCGGTAAAAGAAAAGTAGTGCATGCACGGTATTGTGGTAGTGCAGCACATGGAAGTCAGGAGATGCATTGGTGTGCCAGTCAAATGAATGGCAACGCACCTAGAGCACGGTAACGCTTAGCTATCCATAGATGTGAACAGGCCCTTAGCGTTACTGTCCTAGGTTCAGATAGAGGATATACCCGATTGTTATCTCTGTACTGCGAAGGAGTTTGATTGGATAATCATAGA